GCATGCTATTAGGGGTCTTAGTGCGAATCCGCTATGGTACCAAAACTGCGTGTAGTAATTTTACTCCATTCAAGAAGCAGTTTAAGAAATTATAAAACATAGTTTCCTCTACCAGATGAAATTTAAGATCTGCTGATCGATCAAGTCGACGAGTCTAAGCCAGCCTTTGATTTGCCTGTGCAACTACCGGCCAAGACCATCAATAAGGTTTCGTTTTTTGATTTAGCGCCAAAACGGTATTATCTGTTAAGGGCAGTTTTAAACTGGGTGCAATAATTGGATTTGCAATTGCTTGTATGCTTGGAGGCCAGATAATCATTTTGCCATTGAAAAATGCCGGGTAGCTGTGTAAAAATGACAAAGTGAACAGTCTCAAGAAACCAAGACCACCCGAACAATCCATATGAGGACTCTAAGTTAGTTGTTTTGCTGAAATGCTTCCATGAGCCAGACGCTACTACTATCAGGACATTCGGTTTTGAGCTGCACACTTTCAATTAGTACCACCGTGCGTTCACAGTAGAAACGACAACGTCATGAGCAGTGCGATTTTTGTGGCACAGAAAAGTTTACCCCGCAAAAAAGCGAATTAAGCAAAGCTAATCTGTAGGCTCTGGAGTGGTGCAGGCATGCGGCACAGTTGGCACCGGGTGACGAAAAATCGGAGGAAGAAAAGCAGTGGCGGCAGAATTTCCTCGCTTTGCCGGATAATAATGAGCTTTTCGAACTTGTGCAGGTTAGTTTGCATATCATATTTGGTGAGGGCCAGAGTGGTGGAAGTTGGAGCATCCAAAGCTGAGTCCTATCTTTGTTCTTCCAAACTTTCAATCTCATTTTCCCATGATGGGACGGAACTTTTTTGTTAAGATGACAAAATGGAGCTTTTCAGCAGATGTTTAAAGCCTATTAGTCTCGCAGACCTATCCGAAATTTTCGCCCGTTGATTCCTTTTGACTTACTTATGCTAAAGGCATAAAATTGTGCATTTTTGAAACTAGCTGTACGGGTGGGTATGTTGGCGGTTCGGCCAAGTCTACACTTTCTACTAATAGCGGTTTTACCATTCGTTCATTCATTTCGATGGTAAATTGATACTGGTATGTGCCATGAAGGAACCAAAACTATCAGCTCGCAATCCTTGGAAGATGGAGCTATCAACATATTTGTTGGTGAGTGGCACCTGTAGGCAGTTGCTACCGAGGCTACTATCGAATGCCCCGACAACTCACAACTGTGAATGCAAAGGGCTTTTTGAGTTCTGACTTTTGCATGAAAGACATAAACCCGGAAATCTGTGTGCAGACGGACTAAGCAGAATGGGCTGAAGCTGATTGGCAATTAACAAACGAGCGGTTTTGTAATTTACAGGCCGCAAATTATCTGGATATAAGCGACTTGTTGGCCAGTGGCTGTAGAACAATTGCAGGCCACATCAAAGGAAAAAGTGTGGAAGAGCTGCGCGAATTCTTCAACATCGCAAACGATTTTACACCAGAGGAGGAAGCACGTGTATGTGCATTTATTTCACGAAAAGTGGAATTTTTGAGAAAATTTGTAAGGAATTTCGCTAGGGAAGCGGATTTTATGCGGAAGATTTCTTGGACAATCCGACTGGGAACTGATAATTTATCATTTTTTATTTTCTCTTAGTTCGCGAATTTTGCTTATTGAAAGTCAAATCAAAAAAATTTTGACTTATTATTGTGTCTCGATGAACTCAGTTTTTCCGCTTTTGTCCTTGTTTTTCTTCCTTCCCTTGCTGTTAGACCATTTGAAAATTGTTTTATACTCATAATCCAAAAGTTCAGAACTTTCAGGTTCGTGAAGAGAACGCTTGGTGTGAGGAATGAAATGCAGCTCAGTGTAGGTATCAGTGATAGCATTTACAACAGCAAATGAATTGTGTATTCTAATGACTGAATAAAACACTCAATTACAGCTGACATCTTGAAAAAACAGTCCCCCTCGTAAATGATTATGAGTGAGCGAACTGTACCTGAGGCTAACCCATGATTTATCGCCAGAACTAGCACCCCGCTCCAAAAGGCGCTCTTGCGCAGTGTCCGCTGATCACACCACTTTCAATTCTGATGTTCAATTCGGAAAGGATGATGCAGTTCCTGGGCGTTCGCAGCAACTTTTGCCAAATCCTTTCCAACAGAAAAAGCACAGCATTGCGGAAGGGCCTGCCGTCTACATCCTTAAAATCTTCAGGTTTGTTTCGAAATTTTTTCGCCTCCTTTTCACGTTTTTTTTCGTGAAGTTAATTTTCCTGGTGAAGAGACGACATCAAAGTTCCCTCAGTTCGAGCAAACTAAATTAAAATGGCTTGAAATTATTTCGGCAATCTGCCCAATCAGCTAAGCTCTCAAAACTGCACGCAAACAGCTGTTTCATTTGGTTTCAAGCCTTGCTTTCGGGAATTTTTGTCCGGATTCACTGTTTACTTTCATATTGGCACCTTAATCCAGTGTGACTGGTAGGTATTAGTGCTGAAAACAACATTTTTTATGCCTAAATAATTTTATTAAACCCAAAAAAAAACACACGACAATGATGACACTAGCAGCAAATGGTGCACACAGCACAAAAAGCGATGTGGTTCGCAGCTGAATCCTTCACTGCCTCTCCGAATATAACTTCGGGATTAACGCCATTCTAAAAAGAAAAAAAAAA